CTTTATCTCTCTTTCTTCTCTCACGTTTTCTTCTTAATTTTCTTTCATTTTCTTTTATTTCTTTTTCTTTCTTCTCTTCATTCTATATCTCTTTTGTTACTTCTTATTCTTTAAGTTTTTTTTTGTCACATCTTCTTCTTGTTTTCTGTTTTCCTCATCTTCTTCCTATTTTACTTTTTCTTCTTCTTCTTCATCGCCTTTGTCTTCTTCGCTCTCTTCGACTTTATATTTTTTTTATTTTCCTTTATTTATTTATATCAATCAAATATATGTACTTGAAAACTTTAACTATTTCTCTCTCCTCATCCATGTGTCCATCCCTCTTTCAATATTTATCTATCATTCTCTCCTTTCCCCCTCGTCCTAAATTTATATATATCATATGATTTAGATAACTACATTTAAAATAAAAAGTATTTCGAAAATAAAAAATAAGAACACAAAAGATATGAGCGAACATAGAGTGAATATCATGTGCCTATAAGGTTAACTCTCTCTACCATTTCTCTCTCTCTCTCTCTCTCTCTCTCTCTCTCTCTCTCTCTCTCTCTCTTTCTCTCTCTCTCTCTCTCTCTCTCTCTATTTCTCTCCGTCACACTCTCTCTGTCCATCGACATTTCCTAAAGCATGTATATGTCCCTGAAAGCTTTAACTCATTTCTCTCTGTCTTCCCTTTCTCCAATTCATCACCCATTTCCCCTTCTTATTCTTCAATATTTTTCGTCTTGTCATAATTTTTCTTATTATGATTTTTTTTTTCCTTTTTTCGGTATTCTTCTTCGTCTTTTCCTTCTTCTTTATCATTGACGTCAATTTTCTTATTCCTTATCTTTTCTTTCCTCTTCTTCATCGTCTACAACTTCTATTTCATTTCTCTCTTCTGATTTGTCTTCTTCTTCTTTCTCCTCTTTTGTTTTGTTCTACTTTTCTTCCTATTCTTTATCTTTTGGTTTAGTTCTTCTTCGTATTTTTCTTATTCTTTTTCAGTTTTTATTCGTTTTCTTCTTCAATCTCCAATTTTAAGAATTTTGCCTTCTTTTTCTGCCCCAATTTATTCATCTTATTTTTCCTCATATTTTCCTTCTTCGTCTTCGTCATGAGCTTTGACTTGTACTTTTAGTTTTCTCGAACTTCATATTCTCATATTTTCCTTCTTCTTCTTCTTCATCGTTTTTGACTTGAACTTTTTTTCTTCTTCCACTTATATATCTTACGACTTGTTATGTATTAATTTCATCTTCATCATTGTCTTGACTTCTGCTTTATCATCTTGTATTCTCTCAGTTCTTCTTCTTTTTAAATTTTTATTAGCCCTTCTTTGTTCTCTACTTCTTATTCCTCTTTTGTCTTCATCAAACTCTTCTTCTTCTGGTTTTTCTTGATCTCTTTCTCATCCTCACCTACTTCATTTTCTCATTTCTTCTTCTTTTATTTTTGTTTTCTTCCGGTTTTCTTCTTCAACTAAAACATCCTTTTTTTATATCCTTATTCTTCTTCACTATTTTGTGTTCTATATGCTTTTTTTATTCTCAATGGTTTTATTCATATACATCTTTTTTTAGTTTTTATCATTAACTACATCTTTTTCTTTATACTTATACTTCTAAGTTATAAGAATTATAGGTGAATAAAAGTAAGAACAATATATATGATTTATTAGGAAAACTATTTGTATGTCTTTTTTAACAATAAATAACAATTATGAATGGGTTAAAATAAGAACAATATATAAATTATTAATAGCAAAAACTAATTAGGAATCTGTTTAATTGTTTTATTTTTATTGATGGTAACTAAATTTAGAAAGTACATTAGGGAAAACTATTAAAATCCAAACACAACAAAAAATCAAAGAAAATTGTTAAAATAAGATAATTAAGGAAAATTAATCAAAGATAATGCAAGGAATTGACGAAACTTATACTAAAAAACATTGAATGGATCTCCAAACATAAAAAGGATTCATCATAGAAGCTGCACGTAACAAAGCAGTGTACATCATAAGAAGAAAAGAGTGGGAACCCATTGACTTTCCTTATAGATAGCTTCGACATACTCGGTATCATCGTGCATTAAACTCAAAGCATAACATGCATCTTTGAAAGTACGGTGGACAACACCATTAATTGTTCTTATATCCATCTAAAAACATGGATCGCGAACGACATGCAATGAAACCCTCAAGAAGTAGGCTTCGCCAGCGTTAGAGTTACAGTTGGCTTTAAGACTCGGTCTGGAGTTACCGCAAAGACGGGGGTGCCATTGATGTTTTTATGATCCCAACCCCAATGGATCAGAAATTCAAAATACATATATGATATGGCTTCAGGATAGTCCTAATTACACTTTAACGAACCTGTAAATTTATCGTTGTAAACATCGCAGAAGAATGTCATCTTCTGTAAAAACGATTTGAGATGGAGGCAGATGTTACAGCAAAATCTGAGGATCACGGAGGGAAAGATTGCTGGTCGCTATAGAAAATAAATAAAAATTTTGAAGGAAAGAACTATTAGGCAATGGATTTACATAAGAAGAAAGTCTAGAAGCAGAAAAAAACATTTAAAGCACAAACTAAAATAAACAAACATGAATTTTATTTACCTGACAATTTTATTGTAAAGCGGGAGATAACATATTCAATTAGCGAAGTATGAACTATAAGAGTAGGTTGTCATTATGGAAATGCATAAATAATATATATATATATATATATATATATATATATATATCAATTTTTTTTAAAAAGACATGGATTTATGGGTAAAAAAGATGCTAAACCTAAGAAGACGGACATTGTATGTAAGAAAACATGAAGACCGAGAGGAGTATATATAGCACGATGGATATGCTAGGGTTTAGATTAGTACTGACTTTGATATTGATGGCCCATAACCAAAATCAGTGGCTAGGACCAAAATCGAGATTAGTGGCCCATAAATAAAATCGATGGCCCATAATTGAGGAAAAAAGACACAACACGGGTATTTCTACGTAAGATTAATGATTGACCTATCATAACAAATTAAAACGCCATATAATATTTTTTAATAATGACACGTAGGACAATTGCTGTGGAGACGGCACATCAGATGTTGTGCGGGGAGACAGAGAGAAATTGAGTTAAAGCTTTCAGGGACATATAGATGCTTCAGGGACATGTCGATGGAGAGAGAGAGTGTGAGGGATAGAAATAGAGAGAGATAGAGAGAGAGAGAGAGAGAGAGAGAGAGAGAGAGAGAGAGAGAGAGAGAGAGAGAGAGAAAGAGAGAAAGAGAGAGGGGATAAAGAGAGAAAGAGAAATGGTAGAGAGAGTAAACCTTATATTCAGTCTATGTTAGCTCATATTTTTTTTTCCTATTTTTTTATTTTCGAAATACTTCTTATTTTAAATGTAGTTATCTCAATCATATGATATATATAAATTTAGGACGAGGGGGAAAGGAGAGAATGAGAGATAAATATTGAAATAGGGATGGACACATGGATGAGGAGAGAGATATAGTTAAAGTTTTCAAGTACATATATTTCACTGATATAAATAAATGAAGGAAAATAAGAAGAATATAAAGTCGGAGAGAACGAAGAAGACAAAGGCGATGAAGAAGAAGAAGAAGAAGTAAAATAGGAAGAAGATGAGGAAAACAGAAAACAAGAAGAAGATGTGACAAAAAAACTTAAAGAATAAGAAGAAAAGAGATATAGAATGAAGAGGAGAAAGAAAAAGAAATAAAAGAAAATGAAATAAAACTAAGAAGAAAACGTGAGAGAACAAAGAGAAATAAAGATGGAAGACGATGAAGAAATAAAAAAAAGATTAAAAAAAAAGAAAAACTAAAAGATAAAAAAGAAGAAGAAGAAAAATAATTATGTAAAGACGAAAAACTCGCTTTTGTCTTAATTCAATTGATTTGTGAGTTTAATAGTAAATATATCTTTTGTTAATTTTAGATGGTGTTTCCTTTTTGGATTTGCTTTATTTTATTATGTATATATTAAATAATTATTTTTAATTATTTTTAGTTTTAGTTTACAACATTGAAACCTCTATGCCCGTACAACAAATTAACAACAATATAAAACCCAAAAAATACAATAGAAAATTAAAAGAAGGCGAGAAAAGAAAAACAATCACTATAGAAATCAAAAAGGGAAATATGGGAGACTATGTCACAGAAACAAAATTCACCGGCTTACTAAAGTACAAAACCGATTTACTTTGAGAATGAGCGAAGAGTTGACCTTCGAGAATGGTGAGTTAGTTGTTATAGGTGAAAAACATATATAGGCTAACGATATATATAGTGTAGGATAAATGTTTTAGGGTTTTTTTTTAATTTTTTTCGGTGGCCCATTTTACAAATTCGATGAATTAAACGAAATCAATGGCCCATTAACTAAAAGTATTGATGGCCCATTAAAATCATATTAACCATAGTGACACATAGGATTAATGATAATCCAATTAGAATTAAGAAAAATGACACGTATATATGACACATAAACAAATCGCTCTGGTGTTGACACGTAAGAATTTTGACTTCGCAAATAATATTATAGATTATTTTTTTAGTTATGCATAATATAAACACAAACAAACAATATAATCCTGATCTCCTTTGGTTTTGCAGGTAGTCAAGGCCAGAGATAATAGGAGACATGACTGAAGCATAAGTTGCTTGACGATCAAGAAACATCTCTGACCCGAAATGGCTGGCTCAGTTTTCCACATTTCCAACCGTCCTCTGTTAACTTCTAATGGAGAGAACACTGTAAAAGTCAGTTAGTACAACGTTTGTATTAACTTTCCGACAATATCTCAGATTCTACTAAATGTACTAGTTTTATATTGAGACCACTCGGTCTTTGTATTTTTGGTTTTGCATGGTCAATGACTCAAACGACCAATTCCATATAATTTTCTAAGAATATTTTTAAGATGCATCAATTTGTATTGACTTTTTTTTGTAATGATTCCGAGAGAGGATTTTGATCGGAGGATGGAAAAGGATTTCTCGTTGGTGCCGAAGGTGGAGGACAAAGAAGAATATGATTACAGAAATGAGAAATCCGTAGAGATGATGAAGAAGGTGAGCTCCATGGCTGCTAAAATGGTGGCAGTTTCTCTTTCTCAGTATCTCCTTCAAGTTATCTCAATGGTTATGGCTGGTCACTTGGACGAGCTCTCTCTATCCGGCGTAGCTATCGCCACTTCTCTTACCAACGTCACTGGCTTCAGCCTCCTCGTAAGATCTCTCTCTCTCTCTCTCTCTCTCTCTCTCTCTCTCTCTGTGTTGACTTCAATGATTAGCTTGGGTTGGCAGGTGCCTTAGAGACATTGTGTGGCCAAGCTTTCGGAGCAGAGCAATTTAGAAAACTTGGTTCATACACTTACTGCTCAGTGATCTGTCTTCTCTTGCTCTGTTTCCCAATCTCTCTTCTTTGGGTTTTCATGGACAAACTCTTGGAGCTCTTCCATGAAGATCTTCTCATCTCTCAATTAGCATGTAGATACTCGATCTGGCTCATACCGGCTTTATTCGGATATGCTGTTCTTCAATCTATTACTCACTATTTTCAGTCACAAGGATTGGTTCTTCCTCTCTTATTAAGCTCTCTTGGAGCTCTATGTTTTCATATTCCTTTTTGTTGGCCTCTTGTCTATAAACTAAGATTTGGAATCGTTGGGGCCGCTTTGTCCACCGGCTTTTCATATTGGTTAAATGTGTTGGAGTAAGCTTGAAAGGAAGCTTGAAGAACAAGCTTCTAGATTCTTCTTAAGTTATATTTCCTAAAAGTGTTAGATTTAGGAAAAAGGAAATTAGGAATTATCTAAATCTATTAGGTTTAGGAGTTGCTAAACCTATACAAGGAGATGCCAACTTGTGGCATAACTTATGAGTTTGAGTTTTGATCTTTTAGGTTTTTGAGTGAGTTTTCCTAAAGTTTAATAAAAGAGAGTTTTATTAACTTGATCTCAAAGCTAGTTCGATAATAATTGGTATCAGAGCTTATATTATCGATCCAGAAGATACAAAAGTTACATACAGAAAATCGATAAGCAATGGGGGATCTCGTCCCTGTCACTAAACCTAAAGAGCTCAGCCTCTCATCGATACAATGCCCTATGCTAAACGCTACTAACTACACAGTATGGGCATTAAGGATGAGAGTTTTGCTCAGGGTTCGCAAAGCTTGGGAAGCCGTAGAAACAGAGACAGACGAAGGAGAGAAGAACGACATAGCGATGGGTTTAATCTTTCAGTCAATACCAGAAGTTTTGATCTTGCAGATTGGCGAACTTAACACAGCAAAGAAAGTCTGGGAAGCTATCAAAACACACCATGTAGGGGCAGAACGAGTTCGTGAAGCCAGACTCCAAACCCTAATGGCAGAGTTTGATCGCATCAAGATGAAAGATACAGAAACTATCGATGAATTCAGTGGCAAGCTATCCGAAATTTGTTCAAAGTCAGCAGCATTGGGAACAAATATCGAAGAAGCTAAGGTGGTCAAGAAATTCCTTAAAAGCGTCCCTCAGAAAAAATATATCCACATTGTGGCATCATTAGAACAAGTATTGGACCTCAATACAACTAGTTTTGAGGATATCGTAGGACGTTTAAAGGCCTATGAGGATCGCATTCATGGAGAAGAAGAAGAAACACAAGAAGATCAAGGAAAATTGATGTACGCCAATACAGAGTCCCAATCAAACCGAAGCTTTAACAGTGAAAACAGAGGCAGAGGTCGTGGTGGACGTTTCTACAGCAGAGGAAGAGGCCGTGGTAGAACAAACGAATCAAGAGATTTGTCCAAAGTAACCTGTTATCGGTGCGACAAGTTGGGACATTATGCATCAAGTTGTCCTGATAGATTGCTTAAACTTCAAGAGGCTAAGGAGGATGAAGTCGACAAAGATGATACACACGAAGGGGAGAAATTAATGATGCATGAAGTGGTGTTTCTCAATGAGAAAAACGTGAGACCAGACAGATTTGAAACGTCCTCTGATGAAAACAACGTGTGGTATCTCGATAACGGGGCTAGCAACCAGATGACAGGAAACCGAAGCTACTTCTCGAAGCTTGACGAAGATGTTACAGGAAAGGTGCGATTTGGGGATGACTCTCGTATCGATATCAAGGGAAAAGGGTCCATACTGTTTGTAAGCAAAGATGGTGAAAGGAAGATACTTGCAGATGTTTATTTTATACCAGATCTTAGAAGCAATATAATCAGTTTAGGACAGGCTACTGAGTCTGGATGTGATATCCGCATGAAAGGAGACCATTTAACTCTGTATGGAAGTGATGGAAGATTGCTAGTGAAAGCAAACAGGTCAAGAAACCGGCTTTACAAAGTCCATATGGAGGTTGAAAGTAACAAGTGTCTGCAAATTACGGAACTAAACGATTCAGCTAAATGGCATGCGAGGCTCGGACATGTTGGGGTAGAGACCATGAAGACAATGATCAAGAATGATCTAGTCACAGGGATACCAAGTATTGCAGTCCATAAAGAAACCTGCTCCGCGTGTTTGCTCGGAAAACAAATCAGAAAAGCCTTCCCACAAAAGGCCTCATATCAAGCAGTACAAGCCCTTGAACTAATTCACGGAGACCTCTGTGGGCCAATTACACCAGCCACAGCTGCACAAAACCGATACATCCTTGTGCTAGTAGACGATTTTTTGAGATATATGTGGTCTCTTCTGTTAAAAGAGAAAAGTGAAGCTTTCAACAGGTTTAAGAAGTTCAAACAGATTGTTGAACAAGAAGCTGGCCTAAGGATTCAAACCTTTCGTACCGACAGGAGAGGCGAATTCGTATCCCAAGAATTTCAAGATTATTGCGAAGATTCAGGCATCAAGAGATACCTCACTGCCCCTTATTCTCCTCAGCAAAACGGAGTCGTAGAAAGTAGAAATAGGACACTTATGGAGATGACTCGAAGCATTATGAAACACATGAACATTCCAAATTTCTTATGGGGGGAGGCTGTTAGACACGCAACATACATTATAAACAGAGTAGGAACAAAGACGTTGTCAAAACAAACCCCATATGAGGCTTTTAAAGGAAAGAAGCCCAACGTCGAACACTTAAGGGTTTTTGGATGCAACGGGTACGCAAAAGAAACGATTCCTCACCTAAAGAAGTTAGATGATCGATCACAAGTGTTGATTCATTTAGGAACAGAACCCGTGTCTAAAGCCTATCGACTTTTAGAGCCAAAGAGCAAGAATATAATAGTAAGTCGAGATGTTGTTTTTGATGAAACAAAAGGCTGGAAGTGGAACAGTTCAGGAAATCAGATTAACGAAGGCTCCGGAACGTTTACTCTTGTTCTCAGAGATGGAAGAAGGGGTGAAAAAGAAAATAATGGCTCATATGAAACAGGGGATAATCCAGAACAGAGCACTAATGATGAGAGCATCGAAGAAGAAACCGAGGCTGACAATAATCCTGAATATGAGACTGAAGAAACCGAAAAACAGGAACTCGACCAACCTGCTCTCAGGCGATCAACGAGGCCACAAAAGACACCAGATTTATCTAGAAGACTTTATTTTAATCGCTGAACTTGAAAGTGAACGCCTACTGCTTGCGACAGATGAGGAGCCGTGGGATTATAAAGAAGCGAAGGAACTAAAAGTCTGGAGGGATGCATGTGAAGAAGAGATATCTTCGATAAATAGAAACAAGACGTGGAGCTTGGTCGATCTTCCTTCTGGAGCAAAGCCGATTGGACTTAAGTGGGTGTTTAAGATAAAACACAACTCAGATGGAAGCATAAACAAATATAAGTCAAGACTTGTCGCGAAGGGCTATGTGCAGAGATTTGGTATTGACTTCGACGAAGTGTTTGCTCCAGTAGCCCAAATTGAAACAATCCGTTTCATCATTGCTTTAACTGCTTCGAACAGATGGGAAGTTCATCACCTTGACGTAAAAACAGCTTTCTTACACGGTGAGCTGAAAGAGGAAGTTTACGTACAACAACCCGAGGGATTTGTGGTTAAAGGAAGCGAAGGCAAAGTGTATAAACTACACAAAGCTCTCTATGGACTCAGACAAGCGCCGAGAGCCTGGAACAACAAGCTCAATCAGATTCTTCGTGAGCTAAGATTTGATAAATGTTCAAAAGAGCCTTCCTTGTATCGAAAAGAAGAAAAGGGTTTGCTCCTCCTTGTAGCCGTATACGTTGATGACTTACTCGTCACCGGTTCATGCTTAAACCTGATTCTCGAGTTTAAAAAGGACATGGCTGAACGCTTTGAGATGAGTGATCTAGGGAGATTGACATATTACCTTGGGATAGAGATAATACAACAAGGAAATTGCATCACCCTAAACCAAGAAAGATATGCAAGAAGGATACTTGAAGAAAATGGTTTAAGCGAATGCAACGCGGTACACATACCAATGGATGCTGGTTTGAAGTTAAGTAAAGCGCAGAAAGAGAAAAGCATCGATGAAAAGAGATACAGAAGGAACATAGGATGTCTTCGCTATCTGCTTCATACAAGACCTGATCTCTCATATTGTGTTGGCGTGCTGAGCAGATATATGCAAGATCCAAAAGAATCTCATGGAATAGCATTAAAACAGGTCTTAAGGTATCTGCGAGGAACCTTGAGCTATGGTTTAAGGTTCGAGGGTGCTAAGACGTCTGGTTTAATCGGATATAGTGATAGTAGTCACAATGTTGACTTAGATGATGGAAAAAGCACGTCTGGACATGTTTTCTACATCAATGAGTGTCCAATAACGTGGTGCTCACAGAAGCAAGAAATCGTTGCACTATCTTCGTGTGAGGCGGAGTTTATGGCTGCTACTGAAGCAGCCAAGCAGGCGATTTGGTTGCAGGAACTACTTGAGGAAGTCATCGGATCTGGATGTAAAAAGGCTGTGGTTCGAATTGATAACAAATCAGCTATTGCCTTGACTAAAAATCCAGTATTTCACGGAAGAAGTAAGCATATACATAGAAGGTATCACTTTATTAGAGAGTGTGTGGAGAATGAGCAAATATTAGTTGAACATGTTCCGAGAACAGAACAGAAGGCTGATATTCTGACAAAATCACTTGGGAGGACCAAGTTCAAAGAGATGAGGAATCTAATTGGTGTCAAAGAGGTGATCAAGGGTGATTTCAAGCTTAAAGGGGAGATTGTTGGAGTAAGCTTGAAAGGAAGCTTGAAGAACAAGCTTCTAAATTGTTCTTAAGTTATATTTCCTAAAAGTGTTAGATTTAGGAAAAAAGAAATTAGGAGTTATCTAAATCTATTAGGTTTAGGAGTTGCTAAACCTATATAAGGAGATGCCAACTTGTGGCATAACTTATGAGTTTTGTTCTTTTAGGTTTTTGAGTGAGTTTTCCTAAAGTTTAATAAAAGAGAGTTTTATTAACTTGATCTCAAAGCTAGTTCGATAATAAGCGGACAATATCATATTAATATGGAGTTGGATATGGGCTTGAAGAGCCCAACAATTGGTATCAGAGCGAGGTTCTGAAAATGTGGACCTGGACAAGTGGATGTGGGTTCTGTATTGGGTGTGGGAGAGAGCCTTCAAGGTGACCTTGCGATTGTGGTACCGGTGCCTTGTGTCGAAAGTATTCCTAACGGTGTACGAATTGTGTGGTTCTTGGCTTGAGGCGAGGATTGTTGGGATATCAATCCAAGTCCCACATCGGAAGATTAGAAAAGTGTCTAATATATAAGCAAGATGTCCAACAGATTAGTATGATGCCTTTTGAAATGAGCCCAAAAACAAATCCATGCGGACTTTGCCACTTGGGCCCAAAGCGGACAATATCATATTAATAGGGAGTTGGACATGGGCTTGAAAAGCCCAACAAAATGTAGTTTTGCTTTGGATTTTCATGAGAGACTCTGCACTGTATCGCGAAACCAGGAATCTTAGGGCACAAGATATCTTCTCGAGCATGAAGCAGTTCATCTCCCTCGGGATCCCCTCTGCCATGATGATTTGGTAACTACAATCGTCTCTGTTTATTGATTGTGATCTTTAGTCACTTTATCTCTTTTGGGGTGTAAGTAAAGCCTCGAATGGTGGTCATTTGAGATTCTGCTACTACTGTCTGGACTCTTACCGAACTTAAAGCTCGAAACATCGGTGATGTCCATAAGGTATGTGCATTTTGTAATAGTTATAACATATGAGTCAAGGCCTTAGTCTTGTTCTAAGCGCCACTGGATCCTGTTTTGACTTTAGGTTATTTTTCTAATTAAGCAAACGACACTTGATCATTATTACTAGATAGTATTTAGTTGAAAAAAATATTAACCCTCACGTTGGATCTGAGTAAACTCAAATGGACGCAATCGATTAAAAAAAATCGAAATTAAATCCAAGATGAATGAAAGAAAAGATCTATCAATATGTAAATGCCAATGTTAAGAGTCTTACATCAAAAATAAGAAGAGATCTAGTTTATAAGTGATGTAGCCGAATATTTTAAAAAATAGAATAGTGATCCGTTGATTATGAAAATACTCGGAAAACTATGATAATCGTAAAATTATCCGTTTAGTTTGAGAATATCCGAATAAATCAAACATTTTTAGATTCGTTAAGATCTCTCTAGATCTACGGAAAACAGGGAACAAAGAGACAAAAACTCAATTTCATTAATCATTCAAAAACTAAATATAACTCTATGCTTAAACTTATTTATAATAAATCCAAAACACTAAAAAATCCAAAACAATAAAAAAAATTATCTAAATAACTAAAAATATTTAAGATATTTTTAAATATCTTTATGCATCATTCTCTCGATTCATCCTTAAATCTTAGCCGTGGCCTACAATTCCTAAACATCGTATGCGTAAATCCAATAACTTCTTTTCTTTTTTTCTGAACTTCCATCGATAAAATCCTTCACGAACTACAATAACAAGGCTATCCAAATTTTTCGTTAGATCACGAATCTCCAACTTCTCCTTAATAATTAATTGATCGATGTTTCTAAACATAAATCCACACGTGGCCACTAGCTCCTCCCTTTCATTGGATACGAGTATCGAAGTATAACTTATTTGTCTCTTCTCAATGATGGCTTGAGACAAACTCAAATAAATCCACTTATTTTGGAGATAAAATCATGCATATCACCATAAATTTTTCCAAACGCCTCATCCAGAAGAACGTTGTGATCTACGAGATATCCATCTTCATCATAGACGTCATAAACTGGATCACCTATTATTTCTTTGATTTACAAGCACAGATCTTCATAAGGAACAAACAGAATTTCATCTGTTGGATAAAATCGCTTGGGCGACATAGTAAATGAGTAGACAAAATCGAATCTTGATTAAGAAATCAAAGTGTTGGCTTTGACACTAACTAATGTAGCAGAATCTTTTAAAAAGATAGAAGAGTGATCCGTTAATTCTGGAAATACCCAAAAAACTATGTTTGAAAATATCTAAATAAATCAAGCATTTTTAGATTCGTTGAGATCTCTTTAGATCTACCGAAAACAAAGAACAAAGAAACAAAAACTCAATTTCATTAATGAATCAAAAAATGAATACAACTTTAGGCTTAAACGGCTTATTTATAATAAATCTAAAACCCTAGAAAACTCTAAAAAATAAAAAAAAAATTTAAATTAATTAAATAAATAATTTAAAATATTTAAGATATTTCTAAGTATCTTTCTGCATCAATAAGTCTACCAGCCACTCTACTGACCTTATATGTCTTCCTTCTTTGAGCAGCCTCACAACGTCATCTCTGCATTTCGTTATAGTAAATTCCATAGGAGCAGCCGCAAGGTTTAGTGGATTTCAAATTGTTCATAAGAATATAATTTTTCTTTTTGCAAAAATGTTCTAAACCCTTGTCTTGTTTATAATAGCACACATGTCTCAAACGAGCTAGGAGCTGGAAATCCAAGGTCAGCTCGAGCAGCGGCTAATGCTGCCCTTCTCCTCGGGACTTTTGATGCTTTCTTAGTAAGCATCACTCTTTACAGCTATCGAAAAACCTGGGCGTATTTATACAGCAACGAGAGAGAAGTGGTTCACTATGCAACCCAAATTACATCGATTCTATGCCTATCAGTTTTCATCAACAGCTTTACTGCTGTGCTCTCAGGTAAGCGTGTTACATCAAAGGGAAAGACCATATTCATATTGAATGTAGAGATGAAAGCTTCAATTGTTGTAGTTGTTACTTAAAACCCAAGAAACTAAACTTATCTACTTCTTCATATCCTCAGGGATCGCAAGAGGAGCAGGGTGGCAACATATAGGAAGTTATGCAAGCATAGGATCATATTATATAGTCGGGATTCCCGTCGGTTCGATCTTATGTTTCGTTATGAAAATGAGAGCGACAGGACTTCGGATAGGTCTATTGATTGGTTCTTTTGTCCAAACGACAGTTTTTGCACTTGTCACTTTCTTCACCAATTGGGAACAAGAGGTACACCTTTTATGTTTTTATTATTACTCTTCTTCTACTTTTTCTTATAGTTAAGACTTTTTAATTTGATTTCAGTTTGGTTTCCAGGCAACGAAGGCGAGGGACAGAGTATTCGAGATGGCACCTCAAGGAAACCAAAAAACAGAAATCACATTAAAAGAGGATGCGCAAGTGTTACTAAGTGATGTTTCGGAAAATGTGTGAACCCAAATCCCCACTTACCATTAAAAAGTGATGGAGATTCTGGGACGAGGGTAAAATAAGAAAGCTAGACAACCATTTCTTTCATGATTTTGTAATTTCTGCTAAGTTTTTGTAAAAATGAATAGTTGTTAAAGTCCTAGCGCAAAGTGCCGTAAGAATAAGTGAGAATAAGTTAGAATAAGTGGTATTTTCGATCGCTTTCACTAAAATCCAAAACTATTGATCAATAATATTGAACATTTTGGTTAACCACTGTATCGAAGTGGGCTTTCACTTTTAAATCAGCATATCAAAGATATTTATTTTCACAAAATATGTTATTATGAAAGATTCTTTTTCCAGTAGTAGACATTCAAAACGTACTAATTTTCAAAGTTTGAATTATTAATTGAGTCCAAAGTATTATATATATTGATGAACCCAAAATAAAAAACATGTGATACTTAAAAAGTAAAAAAAAAATATTTAATGGAGAAAATAAATCGATTACATGTCTAACACGTGTAACAAATATTTAAAATTTTCATACATTTGTTGTCTTATGTTATCTCTCGGTTAGTGGTTAATGTAAAATTTAAATTAAAGTAATTTGTGTGAAAATCATAAAACAAGATCAAATTAATAAAATAATACTATTTTTGAGAAAATAATCAAATTTAATAAGTAGTCAAAAATACAAACAAAAACATATATCTATCCTCTTTAATCTCTATTTATTTTTCTTATGTGGTTGAGGAGGAAGGAAGTATATATATTTGTGCTTTTACTGTTGACTACTGGCTAAGTTTAATATCTTCTCTTTAACCCCTATATTTGAAAATTAACATTATAATTTCAAAAATGGTGCCTCTCCTTAATTTTGAAAGAACTGGAATTTTATGTTTATGGTAAACACTAAATAGAACAAAATTGCATTTTTTTTTAATTGTGTCTATATAAAATGATTTGTTCTCATTTTTCATTTAGAATCACTTATCAAATGTTTGTAATTTTGTATAGAAAATTCAAATATGATATAACAGAAAAACTATATTGTTTTTAGCAGAAACATGAAATCGATTCAGTTTATATAAAATAATCAAAGCAAGAAACACATCAGAGAGAAAAAGAGTTTTTTTTTCTAAATCATCTTATATATAAAAGTTGTTCAACTTTTTACATATGCTTGACACATCAGCATTGGAGAGGTTGACATCTGTCATTTAATTTTTAACTAATAAATTTTAATATTAAATTTTAAAGCATTTAAAGAAAATGAAAAGTTTATTTTATTAATTGACTCTTAACTAACATTTATATTAATGTTAAACAAAAATTTATGTTATAACTAAGTAAAAATATTGATAGATATGTATTTAATTTTTCTATAACTGTAGATTACTTAATAATATTCCATATGTATTTTAAATTAATCTTTAAGATTATTTATAATAAAATACTAATAAGTAACAAATGAAATAATGATTATATTAATTTTAGTCTTTAATTAATTAACTATTATTAATATTTGTGTAAATGTTAAACAAAATTTTATGTTATAACTAATTTAAAATATTGAAGAATATTTATTAATTTTAATATAATTTTAAATTATTAAATAATATTCAATATGTATTTTAAATTAATATTTTAAAATTTTTAAGAATAAAATACTAATAAGTAAGTAAGTAACAAATGATGATTATATAAATTTTTATAAAAATATAAAAAAAAATTTGAAAAATTAAAAGGAAAAACCTGCACGTCACGTGCGGGTATTCACCTAGTATATATAAAAGAATGGTTTTACTCTCTCCCTATTAGGCCACTTGGTAATTATTTTAATTTTTGAATAATATAATTAAAAATAATAATTCAATTTAATAAAAATAATAAACCACTTAATTGGTTTAATTAGACTAATTTGAATGACTTTTCCAAAAACTGTTACAAACATTTAAATCAAAATTATTAAATGCAAAATTGATTCAAAATAATAACCACAATGACATTTAATCATATTAATCATAAGAACAGTTTTTGTAAGTATAATGACTTATGTTGTATAGTCTAATATAAGGTTTGATGTTTCTGTGGATAAACTAAGTTTACACACAATTTAGCATGGACATCGTATCTTACAAATGATCAATATTGGAGATAGAGTATTTCGAGAGTAGTTAATGTGGACAAAGTATTGTGGACACAATATTATAGAAAACATATCATAAATTAGTTAGCATTGACAATGTATTGTGGACTAGGTGTTGTGGACAAGGCATTGGAAAAATGAACAATGTTTTGTCTCGTTAGGTAATGTGGACAAGGTATGAAGAAGTGGACATTACTATGTTGTGTGGAAAATGTATTATCTCTACTATAATCATTGATAAACTATATGTACACTAGTTAGCAGGAACAAAGCTTAGACAAAGTAATGAGTATCATCTATGGTTGTTATTTAACAATTCATCTCTATGTATATTTATCTTATGAATATAGTTTTTGACTTGATTAATTAAGTCCTTCGTGGACAATGAAAGGTGGACGACAGCTTTTGTGAACATAGAGCATGGACTACTCAGAATAAATCAACAAAGCAAAGTGAACATTGAAAGGTGGGCTTTCATCTCTATGTAATATTGTTCCTATGAATGTAGTTTTTGACCTGATTAATTAAGTCCTTCGTGGACAATGAAAGGTGGACAGCTTGTGTGAACATATATCGTGGATTACTCATAAATAAATAGACAGAGTAAAGTGAACAATGAAGGGTGGACCTTCACCAGTTCAAGAAGAAGAAGAAGAAGTTAAGAGAGGAAAATCAAAAAGCATACAGAAGAAATAGATAGGAAAGAGTAAAAGAGAAGATGCCGTGAAGCATCAGATTCTAGTTGAATGAACAATAGATTTTGAGAAGATTGTAGAAAAATGGAAATTGAGGATGCTGAGAAATCGGTTGATTGTGTCTTTAACTTAGAAAGAGAAGCAAAGAGAAAAATAGAAAAAGATTCACGAAGGAGAGAAGAGAGTATACATATCTATCACGGCTCTCCCACTTGGTGACCACGGCTCTCCCACTTGTCTTGGTGACCACGGCTCTCCCACTTGTCTTGGTGACCACGGCTCTCCCACTTGTCTTGGTGACCACGGCTCTCCCACTTGTCTTTCTTCTATACTTAGTCATTTTGAGATGGTTTTATCTACTTGGGGTGAAAACCGACCCCAACAGTTAGCCCCCCAGCTCGTCAATTTCGGAGGTGAGAGTGACGAGATCCATTACTCCTAACCGTAGGATAAACCATCGAGTCAAGCTGTTGTGACGTAAGCCCAGGTGAGGTGTCTCATAAATATAGATGCTGAGGACGCCGGGGTGTTAAGGGCGAGGCGATTAGTATTGGCGAGCCGTGACGAGGCGATTTAAGAAGGTTATGCCGAGCCGAATAAATGGCGAGGCGTTTCGAGAGAAAGTTGGTGCAGAGCCATTTCATTAACGACGAGGCGTTTTAAAAGAGAGCTAATGTCGAGCCGTTTCGTTGACGACGAGGCGTTTCAAGAGAGAGTTAATGCCGAGGCGTTTCGTTAACGACGAGGCGTTTCAAGAGAGAGAGTTAATGCCGAGCCGTTTCGTTAACGACGAGGCGTTTCAAGAGAGAGAGTTAATGCCGAGCCGTTTCGTTAACGACGAGGCGTTTCAAGAGAGAGAGTTAATGCCGAGCCGTTTCGTTAACGACGAGGCGTTTCAAGAGAGAGTTAATGCCGAGCCATTTCGTTAACGACGAGGCGTTTCAAGAGAGAGAGTTAATGCCGAACCGTTTCGTTAACGACGAGGCGTTTACTTTGGTAAGATATCGACTGAAAACTTGGGTATCCCAACTGTTGGTCTTCCAAGAAAAAATTCCTGATCTATTGGCGCGTGCCACCGACGCAGTTCGGGCTAGCTAATTCACCGCGGATCCCACGCGCTGTTGGACGGTTTCCCGAGGTTTACACGGAATTCACGCGCTTCGGTTTTCCTATAATAGATGAGCTCCTTCATTCTTCCTCATTATCTTCAGACTCACTCGTTTTCACTAAAGGTAGCTCTCCCTTCTCTCTTCTTTCTCTCTCTAGTTTATTTATTTTCCAACTAGGGTTTCCGAGGTCTCCTCCGTTCCAGATCTTTTTTCCGGCGGAGGTTCGCCGAGTCGTGCTGTAATTCCTGTATAAGTTGTAAATTATGTCGAGCCGAGCCGTGTAGATTATCACTAAGTGTTTAGCGCGTGTTGCTCCTTGCAGTTTGTAGCGGCCATCAACGAGCTGATGGCTGAATACGAGGCGGACCTGTCTAAGGTCAAACGCCGCTTGGACGAGGCTCGAAATGAGACCGCAGCGATGAAGGGGAAGCTGGATGAGGCGATATCCAGAGTGTCAAGGCTGGAAGAGGAGAAGATAGTTCTCCGCACCGACGTTGACAAAGTTTCCGCCTCGGTGATTTGCCTGGAGGAAGCAAGGAGAGCCAAAAACACCGAGGTGACGTTGCTCAAAAGGCGTATTGAGGCCAAGGATGCTCTGTTCGAAGCCAAGGTCAAACGTGCGAAGAAGGAGGCGAGGCGAGAGCTGACCGCTAAGTTTCAGGAACGCCTCGCCAAAGTAGAGGAGGGTCTGGCCAAGCTCGAGAAGGCCAAAAACGACGAGAACGATCTGGGGCAAATCAAGGGCAACCTTGCGATGATTGCCGTCCTGAAGAAACCAGACGCCCCGACGCTCGATGATGAGGAGGCGCAGCTGAAGAGCTGGGAGAGCGAATATGCCGACGACGACGCGTATGAATGCATCGCCTCCGAGATTCGAGGCAAGCTGGTTTTCTCGCCCGTATCACCGGACTCGGTCGACACCAGCCTTGGTAACGAGCCGCTCGAAGAGACAGCGGCCAACTTAGGCGTCGTGGATCCGAACAGATCAAACGCGGGTACGCCGGTCCTCTCAAACCTCCTTGCCGAGCGTGAAACACAGTCCGCGGCCTGATACTCTCTGCTTTC